TTCTTCACTTTGCTTTTTTTGCTTTCTTTTTATTTCATTTTTAATTCACTTTTTGTCTTTTAAATCGCTCCCTTTTATCTCTTTTTTCTCCTCTTTTATTTGCCTTTTTATTTTCCTTTTATTTATCTTTTTGTTTTATTTTATTTATCTTTTTACTTCCCATCTACTTATCTTTTTATTTTTCCTTTATTTATCTTTTTCTTTTTATTTTTCTTTTTATTTTCAAACTTTTCGCCTTTTTATCTCTTCTTGTTTCCACCGAATGTCCCCTAATTAATTTATTTATTAAATATAAACCTAACAGCTAATTGAATGAAATAAACAAATAAATAAATAAATAAATAAATAAAATAATTTGTTGACAATTAAATTAAATTAAATTAAATTAAATTAAATTAAATTAAATAATTAAATTAATTAAATATGTCTTTGCTTCCTCTCAGGCCCACGCTGAACTTTTCCTAACTCCCTCCGAAGCAGCAGCAGCAGACCCAGCAGCAGCAGCAGCAGCAGACCCAGCAGCAGCAGCAGCAGCAGCAGCAGCAGCAGCAGCAGCAGCAGCAGCAGATTTCAAAGGGCGTTGTTTGAGTCTGTTGGAAGAAATAAAAGAAATAACAAAAAGAGATTGGGGAATTTTGGAAAATCAATTTCAGCAAATTGAATGCACTTTGAAGTTTTTGGCGCATTTGCAAATGGACTAAACAAATCCTTTTAATTCTTTATTTATTTATTTTATTTATTTTATTTATTTTATTTTATTTATTTTATTATTTCATTTTATTTATTTATTTCAATTTATTTTTGCTTCGATTCTCTTATTTTCATTTTATTTCCATTCCTTTTTCTCTTTCCAACTTTAAAGTTTTCTCTTTACTTTTTTCTCTGACTGAAACTCGAAAAGAAAACTAAAAAGAAATAAACAGAAATAAATAAATGAAAATAAAAAAGAAATAATTAAAAGGAATAACTCGAAAGAAATAATTAAAAAGAAATTAGTAAAATCAAGCAATTAAAAGAAAACAATTAAAGACAAAGAAATGCAAAAGTTTTAAATAAACAATTTAAAATAAATAGTCGAAAGGAAATAATTAAAATGAAAAAATTAAACAAAAATAAACAATTAGAAGGAAACAAATAAAAACAAATACTTGAGAAGAAATCAATGAAAATAAATAAAAATAAATAAAAATAAATAAAAATAAATAAATAAAAATAAATAAATAAGTAAATAGAAGGAATTAAAAAGAAAAGGTGGAAAAGAACGAAAAAGACGGAAACGGAACAAACACCGAAAAAAGAAATAATTGAAAAAAAAGAATTGAAACAAAGAATTAGAAAATAATTAAAAAGAAATAATCAAAAAAAATAATTAAAAAGAAATAATCAAAAAGAAATGAAAACAAGCAAGTAAAAAGAAAATGGCAAGAAGTAAAAAGAAATAAATAAAAAGAAATAATTAAAAGGAATAATATTTGAAAAGAAAAAATCAAAAAAGAAATAATTAAAAAGAAGTAACCGAAGAAGAAATAATTAAAAAGAAATAAATAAGAATTAAAAAGAAGGAAAATAAATTTAAAAGAATTAAAAAGTTTTATTTGGCAGAAATCTCTTTTTCTTTCTTATGCATTTTTGCCGAACTCCAGGACAAAATAGAAGTCTAAACCCTAAACCCTAAACCCTAAACCCTAAACCCTAGGTGCTGGCAGCAGCTGGCAGCACCGCACTACTTTTGTTGCTTTCAGACTCCTGCAGCTACAACTCCAATCCCAAACCCTAAACCCCAAACCCTAAACCCCAAACCCTAAACCCAAACCCTAAACCCTAAACCCTAAAACTCAAACCTTGAGCAGTCTCTCGAACCCCAGTCTAATGAAAAACAAATACCCCCAAAATGCCAATAAAGCCCATTTGGGGGCCCCCTGGGGCCCCCTGGGGCCCCCAAGGGGCCCCCCAAGGGGCCCCCCTGATGCCCCCCAAGGGGCCCCTCGGGGGCCCCCCAAGAAGACCCCTGAGAGCACCAATGGGGCCCCTCAAGGGGGCCCCCTGGGGCCCCCTAAGGGGGCCCCCTGAAGGGGCCTTTTAAAGGGCCCCCTGGGGGCCCCCTAAATAGGCCTTAGGGGGCCCCCAAAAATACCCATAGAGGGGCCCCTAAAGGGTTTACTTCAAACTGCAGGGGGCCCCGAGAAGGGGCCCCTTATGGGGCCCCCCTAAAGGGGGCCCCATCAGGGGCCCCCCTGAAAGGGGCCCCCCCAAGGGGCCCCCCTAAAGGGGCCCCCCTAAAGGGGCCCTCTAAAGGGGGCCCCCTGAAGGGGGCCCCCTCTAGGGGGCCCCCTGAAGGGGGCCCCCTTTAGGGGGCCCCTAAAGCCTGCAGCAGCACTTTAATCAGTTGGTTTATTTTTTTTATGTTTATGTTCTCTTTTGGTTTCTTTTTTTCTTTTCCCCATTTGCATGCTGCCAGCCTCCACATTCCCTAAAGCCAGGGGGCCCCTGCCCCTGTGGG